AAAAAAAAAAAAAAAAAAAAAAAACCAAAGTAATAAAAATTGCAACCACTCAACATTACCCATTATTTGACACTTTAAGTTTACACGGAATTTCTACACAAAAAGAAGGTTGCTAAAACACCATTTGTAAGATTACTTTCCCCTGGGATTTTCTTTTTTCTTTTTCTTTTTTTTAGACAGAGTCTCACTTTGTGGCCCTTGGTAGAGTGCCGAGGTGTCATAACTCACAGCAACCTCAAACTCTAGGGCTTAAGCAATTCTCTTGCCTCAGTCTCACAAGTAGCTGGGACCATAGGCGCCTGCCACAACACCTGGCTATTTTTTAGAGGGCTCAGGCTGGTCTTGAACTCCTGAGCTCAGGAGATCCACCCACCTCTCCTCCCAGAGTGTTAGTATTACAGGCGTGAGGTACCATGCCCGGCCTTCCCCTAGGATTTTCTTGAAAATAAGATGTCTTCTGCAAGTCTATTCCAAGGAGAAAAAAAAAATTTTTTTTTTCTTTAAATTATTTTTCTTTGGAGAGAGAGAAGGTCTTGCTCTGTTGCCTATGCTGGAGTGCAGTGGCATGATCATAGCTTACTGCAACCTCAAACTCCTGGACTCAAGGATCCTCCTCCCTCAGCCTCCTGAGTAGCTAGTACTACAGGCACATAACTACCACACTCAGCTAATTTTTGTGTCTGTGTTTGTGTGTCCAGACATAATCTCACTATGTTGCCCAGCCTGGTTTTAAACTCCTGGCCTCAAGCAATCTTCCAGCCTTGGCCTCCCAAAGAGATCACCCACATGAGACACTGTGCCTAACCCAATGAGGTAAATTTCTGAATGGCAATTTGTAATCTCAGGAGTACTGAAAATGTAGCTTGCAAGGCAATTTTTTTCAGAACAAAGTATAAAGAAGCTATAAAGGAAAACTTTTTTTAAGTATACCAAGAAGTCCCCACGCACATGCAAAAAGTCACATATTTATCACAAGGGTTTCTTGCAGCACTGTTTAAAATAGCTACATAACTAAATATAGTTAAAACAAGATGGGCAATAAGGCTCGGCGCCTGTGGCTCAAGCGGCTAAGGCGCCAGCCACACACACCTAAGGTGGCGGGTTTGAATCCCCAGCCCAGGCCCGCCAAACAACAGTGATGGCTGCAACCAAAAAATAGCCAGGCGTTGTGGCAGGCGCCTATGGTCCGAGCTACTTGGGAGGCTGAGACAGGAGT